TGAGAAAAAAATAAGACGACTTTGTTTATTTTTAGACGCTCTTTCTTTTAGTGTCCTTCAAAATCAAAAATTATGATAATATTTTTGTATAACTGTTAAATAATAATGATTAATAAAAACTAATAATTATTAATTAGAAAACATCATTTTTCAAAAATATTTATACCAAAATGTAGCCCGCTCAAAACTGGATCTAATGATGTATTTTTGAAGCTTTTCCAGTTCTTCAACAGCTGCAAAATCAATAAAGTACAGAAAGTGCCTTAAAATTTTGTTCTCAACGTTATATATATAAATCCCTGGAAAAAAATAAGCCGCAGTCTGTATTTTGAGGATATCGTTATCATAACAGCGTATTTTTAAAAAATAATAATATATTCTGAAAGCGCGTGGGGTTTTCTATCAACCTGTATATTTGTTTTTTCGTTTGAATATATGTATTACCAAAAAAAATTCAGTACAATGAAGACACCCTCATGTCCGTATTCCCACAGACTTCGTTTTGTCACTGTCATCAAAATTAGTTTTTAAAATTTTCCTTCATTATAGAGTTATCTTTTGAAAAAAGTAATTATAGATTCTGATAGAGCTTGAAATTCTCTAGCATTCTGTACATTTACTTATTTCCTTATATTCATTTATTGAAAAGAAAATGTGAGTACAATGAACACATCGTCAATAGACAAGTACCAAAAATATGCATTTTTCACTGCTTCTCGAGTTCGCTTGTTACATTTATTATTGCTATGTAGGGGTGAGAAAGTTATTGTTATTTTTTTTTGTTATTATAACAATAACATTCATTTTTTGATTCAAAAACATTAATGAAACAAGTGCAAGCATAGTTTGTACGTACGTCAAAAAATCACTTTATTCATACAGTATCTTTATTACCATTTGATATAAGAACCAGCCGTAAAAATTTTCAGAAATCGTAAAATAACTTTTTTTGTTATTGTTATACAAAAATAACAATAACAGTAACAATAACAATAACAATAACAAAAAAAGTTATTTTACGATTTCTCAAAATATTTACGGCTGGTTCTTATATCAAATGGTAATAAAGATACTGTATGAATAAAGTGATTTTTTGACGTACGCACAAACTATGCTTACACTTGTTTCATTAATGTTTTTGAATCAAAAAGTGAATGTTATTGTTATAATAACAAAAAAAAAATAACAATAACTTTCTCACCCCTATTGCTATGTGAAAATTTATTTTTAAAAAGCAATGACAGATTCCGATAGAGCTTGAATTTCTCTATCATTCTATATATTTGCTAACTGTTTTGCAGTTATGTGCTGCAACCCATTCAGCACATAAATGTAAAGTAAGACAAAAGTATATAGGATGCTAGAGAATTTGAAGCTCTATCAGAATCTATAATTACTTTTTTCAAAAGATAACTCTATAATGAAGGAAAATTTAAAAAACTAATTTTGATGACAGTGACAAAGCCAAGTCTATAGGAATCTGGACATGAGGGCGTCTTCGTTGTATTGAATTGTTTTTGGTAATACATATATTCAAACGAAAAGGCGAATATACAGGCTGATAGAAAACTCCACGCGCTTTCAGAATATATCATTATGTTTTTAAAAATACGCTGTTATGATAACAATATCCCCAAAATACAGACTGCAGCTTATTTTTTCCAGGGGTATAAATATCTACATCTACACCCGCATTCACCCCCACGCTCACATCCACACCCACGCCCAGTGTCTAGATGGGAATTGTATACCTGAAATAGAATTTTATTTTCATCTTATCACGTTTAACACATATAGAGAGAGAACATGAGTAGATGCAAGGTGATGGAGAAGAAAAGAATAAAGAGAAAAGAAAGAGAAGGAAAGGTTATGAAATATTGAGTGACAAAATTCTCGACATTTGAGAGAAGAGAACAGTAGCGAGAAAAGCAAAATTCTTGAATTCTGCTGGTGATGAATTCTCCTGCTGGGTAAATCCACAAGGCTTCGACCACATTATACAAAACCAATTACGCAAGCTGCGTGACACCCATTGCTAGACGTAGTTTTTGACGATGGTTTTAACGGTGAAAACCGCAGCTCTCTATCTTTTTTGAAAAAAACGTTATATGCAAAATACTCTCCCAGCAAAAAAAGGGCTTTTTTCGTCATTTTCCAGCGGAAATTACATTTTTGCAAAGCTTCGTATCGCTAGACAACGCGTCGTAGAACCTTCATTTTAGTCTCAAATGAAAGAGCGAGGCGAGTTCTATACATTTCAGTAAAAAAACTCATGCCGGTGCCCAGCATCTGGCTGAAAGACTTCTGGAAAACCAGAAGGTTTTCAAGGACTCTTCTCTTATCAGCATGGGCCAAAAGCGATGGAAATCACTTTATATTTGTTATTTTTAGCGTAGAACCCACATCTCCTATTTAGGATGTGGGTGGGTGTTACTTTTCTGTACATTAACATCCACACTCACACTCACACATCCACACCCACACTCACACCACACCCACACCCTACGACACGTCCTCTATCGGTATGAAGCTTTTCAAAAATGCAATTTTCGCTGGAAAATGGCGAAAAAAAGCCCTTTTTTGTTGGAAGAGTATTTTGCATATAACGTTTTTTTCGAAAAAGATAGAGAGCTGCGGTTTTCACCATTGAAAGCAGCGTCAAAAACTACGTCTAGCAATGTGTTTCACACAGCTTGCGTAACTGGTCGATGTAGGGTGGGTGGGTGTGGGTGTGGGTGTCGGTATATGGTGTGATTTTGAGTAAAGAGAAGACTCACACCCACGTCCACACCCACGTCCACATCCATACCACCCACATACCCGCGCCAATACACCCACACCCACGCCCACCCACACTCACACCCACACCCCCTCCAACACTTACACTCACCCACACCCACATCCACACCCCACACCCACATCCACCCCAAGAATGAGCCGCCTTTGTGTTGTTATTCTTGAAGGTTGGAAAAAACCCACTGATGACAGCCAACAAAGTG